ACAATCTGGTCCCATTCGAGTAATCCCATCCCAACACAGCTTCTACCCTTCGGTTAATTATCCACAGATCCAATATCTCCCTTTTATTCTCCAACATTACTTCTAATCCCCACCCTTCCCATTACAACCACCTCTGATCCGTCCAACTGCCGGATCTTGATGTCTTCACTTTTAATCATTTCCTCAGCCCAAATACTTCTATATTTTTCATAACTCATTACAGAGATGGCTGCTCCTGTATCAAACAACATGGATACCATATTTCCATTTAAATTTATCCACACCCTAGGACATGGATCATGTACTATCTCTTCTTGCATCATGTTTATGCATTTCAATTTCTTCATCTTCCCTTTACTACTAAAGTTGCCAATTTTTTCCAACTGCCGCCTCCCGACTTCTAAGGTTCCTTTTTCACTATCATATAGTCACAAGTACTCACACTCTCTTGCCACATGTCCCTCGTTTCGGCACCGAAAGCAAATAATATTCGGATCTTTATTTTCCGTAAAATCTTGTATTCCTATCTCCTTTTCTTCCCTATTTTCAATAATCCTCACATTTGGCACAATCTGCCCCATGTCTCTCTGCGGAAAACCGCCTCGAGTATTGATATTATTAACATTGCATTCTTCTCTATTGTGACCAAATCGTCCGCAACCTGCACATCGTAATTTATCACGTTTTCCCGGACAATACGGGGCTATATGTCCGTATTTCCCACACCCAAAACATTTGGTTTCTTGACAATCTCTTACCATATGACCTGGTTTTCCACAATTATAACAACTCAATTTTTCTCTTCCTCGGAAATTAAAACTTGTTCTCATTTCCATTCGCCTTCCCTGTGAATTTTCTCTTGGCCATCTATACGACTCTTCCTACCGATTGTCATACCTAGGTCTACTATAATTGTCCCTTCTTTCCGTGTTATTAATTCTCTCATTTCTATTTAACTCTCCCATATTACTATTGGTCCATCCTTTGATCAATTCTTGTAGAGGTAACCAGGTTACCTTACCCATCACATCTTCTTCTCCATTATGGCCCTCAATGGTCAATGTCTGACCCTTAATCCTTACATTTCTACTTCTCTTAATCCTTCTTCCAAATAATAAACTAGCTACCCAAATCACTAAAATTATTAACGCTCCCAAAATGTTATACTGAATTTCCCAATATTTCATGAATTTTAAACTTTTCATGTTTCCTATAAGAAATTAACAATAACCTTTAAAATAAATATTTTAATTATTTGTAAGGTTAGGAGGTATGAAATAATTAGGACCGTAAAAATTCATATAAAACACATTGAATAAATAAATTTCTAGCGTTAATTCGCCACAAATACTAAGTTTTTTTAAAATATATATATCACTATGCCACAAAGATTCTTTTATATATCACTGAGCCCCCTTTTTTTATACCACTAATCCACAAAGATCACTAAGCCACAAAGATCTTTTTATACCCCTAATCCACAAAGACCACTAAGCCACAAAGATCACTAAGCCACCAAGACCACTAAGCCACAAAGATCACTAAGCCACAAAGATCACTAAGCCACAAAGATCACTAAGCCACAAAGATCACTAAGCCACCAAGATCACTAAGCCACAAAGATCACTAAGCCACCAAGATAATTAAGCCACAAAGACCACTAAGATTTTATATACCACTAAGCTTTTTTTTTATATATCACTAATCCACACAGATTTTTTTTATTTCTTTTTTTTTACAGTTCCCCCCCCCCCCTTTTTTTTTAGTGTCCCTAACGACCAGGTTCTAGCGATCAGTTCGCTCTGGTCACAGTAACCATTATTATTTATCTATATTAATGTATTGTTTTATTATATATATATATAGGCGGTTTTATACTTCCTTTATTAGAATATTTCGTATAGTTTATAAAATAAAATATAAGACGTTAATTTGTAAAAAAAAATAATAATATTAATAATTTTTTCCCTTTTTTGGGTTTATATAATTTTTAAAATTGTTAAAATAAATAAATATTTATTAATAATTAGAAAAATATAATATTACGCCTTATAACAATGAATCGATAAAAAAAATATAATTCATTAGTAATCCTATAAAAAAAAATATTTATTAACAATGACTCAACTATCATTTTAATAACTTCTGTTACTAAAAAAAACGAAACATATAACACTTTATATTAAAATCATATCCTCCTAATGTAATATTCCACTTCTGGAGTCTTAAGGACATAGTGCTATTATCCTTAAGACCCTTGGTAAAGATGTGAATTAGAGATTTATGGTCAGTAATAATTGTAAATTTCGTGCCGATTAAGTATTCCTGGAACCTCCTTATAGCGAACATAATAGCTAGAGCCTCACGCTCAATATTGGTATAGTTCATTTCGGATTTTAATAAAGTTCTTGACTCGAAAGCTATAGGTTTTTCTTTACCATCTTTTTCAGTATGAAATAATACAGCTCCTAAACCACATTTCGATGCGTCAGTGGCTATCCCTATAAGTAATTCAAGGTTAAAATATGTCAAAGCAGGTGGAAGACTAATTAACTTCTTAAGATCATTAAAACTTTTAGAGTGTTCTAGGTTCCAAGCCTATCTTTCTTTGTTGACAATCTTATACAGAGGATCGGCTATTTCTGCCAAATTGTTCAAAAATTTTCTATAGTAGCCAGCCATACCCAAAAATGTTGATAATTCAGCAGCTGATTTTGATTCTGGCATATTAATTATTGCTTCAATTTTGTCGTGATTAGCATGAATCCCCTTGACGTCAATATCATGACCCAGGAGCCTCACTTTGTTTTTAAAGAATACACTTTTATTGAAGTTAGGTATTAGCCCAAAGGATGATATTCTATCAAACACTTTTTTTATGTTGTTAAGGTGGGCTTCATCGTTTTTTCCAGTTATAAGTCAATCATCAATATAAAATATGACATCATCCATGTCACCGAAGATTTGAATGATCTATTGAAAAATTGCAGATGAGGTCTTAAGCCCAAAAGGAAGTCTAGTAAAAATATCCCTTGTGCGTAAATATGGTTAAAATATTTCTGCAACTTTTATCAATCGGAATCTGTAAGAAAGCATTTTTAAAGTCAATCTTCGTAAATTTCTTTCCTTCTGAAAGTTTAGCTATTAGATCATTGATTCATGGTAGAGGGTATCTGAAATCTTCTAGAGCTGGGTTTACAGTGTCCTAAAAATCAGCACAAAGCCTAATGCTCCCATCATCTTTGTAGACAGTAATAACAGGACTTGCCCATCGGACATCATTCACCGGCTCAATAATTTTATCATGTATATATTTTTTAAGTTCATTGCTAACAAGATCAATTTTTTAATAAGGAATACGTCTAGGCGGTATAATTTTAGGTTGGGCATCTCTTCTTAAATGTAACTTGACACTTGCTTTGTTGATTGGCCCATTATTCAATTTGGATTCACACTCTTTAATCAATTTTTTTATTTCATCTTCGTAATTAGTGTCAACATTTGCTATAAATTTATTTAAAATATTTTTGAAAGCATTAATCCATATACGTCCCAACAAGGCATTTGTACTTGATTCGACGACTACCGCTTGTAAATATTTTGAGATACCTTCATAAGTCACTTTAACTTGAGTGATGCCGATGATCTTGATTAAATTTCCGTCATAAGCGGTAAGTTGTAACTCGGATTTCTTAACATCTCTAATACCAAGTTTTTTAGCCAGACCATGAGGTATAAAAGTATGTTTTGAGCCTTGCATACATGTAACTAGGCCTACAAAAAAACGAATCGAATCGAATAATACTATTATTCATATTCGATTCGAAAATTCGAATCGAATAATTGCGCTATTCGTATTCGTACGAATAATAAAATCATTATTCGTTTCGATTCGTCGAATATTCGATTCGATTCGAAAATTTTTCTAAAGCTTATAAAATATTTTGCAAAAAATTTTTTACAGATGTTTAAAGATGACACTTTTAAGGATTCTCTAAACTAATTGTCATTACAATATAAAAATTTATTGAAAATAAACGAAATAAAACCCAATGATTTCATATAACGTTAACCAAACAAATTGACAAAAATATCCGATTTTTAGCATTAGAATTGCTTATAAAAAAATATTTAACTATTTCTTCAATCTAATATTAAAATTTTATTAAAATTTTCTAAAAATGTACAATAATCTCATTTTATAAAAATAAAATAATACACAAAAATATTAAATTATAGTAAATCCGAATTTGATAATATCCAATTTTTTAAGCAAAAAGTCTTTCTAATAGTTTCCTTCTTCAAAGACATTCTATTTTTCATTATCATATTTGTTCCTATTGAGAACAACCGCTCACATGAAGCCGAAGATCCCTGAATTGACAATACATCAGTTGCCATTTTCGACAACACAGGAAAACGATCCCCATGCAATCTCCACCATTCTAAGGGACTCTTATTTGAACTGATTCTTATTTCGTTAAGATATGTCTCCAACTCACATACTGATGCGATGTTATTTTGTTTAAAAATTCTATCCATGTTCGTATTGGGTTAACTGATGTTGATTTGATATTATATTTTGTAATCATTATGTACATCTTTAAATTTTTCTAATAGATTTGTCGTGCCTATGTTATATGTAGTTGGTAGTTGCTCAAAAAATTGCATTTTTAGTCTAGGATCCAGTATTGTTGATATTATAGTGTGAATATTTGTTAAGTTATAATAAGTTTCTATTTTCTCAATCGCACTGATAGATATTTGCGAATAATTACGAATATTTATATATAAATAATTTCGAATAATTTCGAATAATACGAATAATTTTCCTCATTATTCATATTCGATTCGAAATTTCGAATCGAATAATTGTGTTATTCGTATTCGTAAAATACGAATCGAATCGAATTGAATCGAATCGAATATCAAATAACAAATAATTCGTTTTAGGCCTACATGTAACAATATCGTTCACTTTTAATTTAGTCATAAATGCATTACCTATCATCTTTGTTCTTTGTAGAGTCGACTTTCTCTTCTATAATTTCTTCAATATTCATATTGTAATCATTGTTGTTGTATTGTATTTGCTTTCTATTATTGTTGTCGCTACCTCTATAATTATTTGAGTTGATGTTATATTGTATTTGCTTTCTCTGATTATTGTCACTACCTCTATAATTATTTGAATTGTTGTTATAAGATTGGTAATTGTTACGATTTCCGTCACCGTATTGGATCTGTCTTCTCTGATTATTATCATGCCATGTATTATTTCTACCATAATTAGATTGATTATTATTGTTGTAGCGATAGATATTGTAGTTATAGTTGTTATAATTATCGTGGTATCTAGAATTATTATTACCGTAATTCCTATCATTGTATCTAAAATTATTGTTGTAATTCCTATCTCTATTTCTATTATCATAATTATTTCTAAAATTATTATCAGGTTTAAAATAATTATTATTGTCATTTCTATTTCTATTGTTAAAGTTTTTATCTTTATCAGACTTTTTATCGTTATTCATATAACTTATGTTATCAACATCTGATTTATCATTGATACTATCTAATTTAATTCCATATTTTATTTTGTCATTTAAGGTAGATGTACGTAATTTTTCTTTTAATCTACTGTCGTCCGAAAAATTACATTTTTTATGTAGTTTCGATACTCTTATGTACCATTGCATGAAATTCTCACTCGAGTTCTGCTGTAATAAGTTAAATTTGTTTAAAAATGTTTTTATCTTGTACAGGTAAAAGGTAAGTTAACTTTTTAGTCACTATTTTAAGATCTAATATGTCGGTATCGGAACAAATTGATTTAATATTGTCAAAGACCTCGTCTGATAAATTATTAAGCAAAGTATTTATTTTAATAGAGTCCGATAATGTGCTGGTCGAAAAATAACTTAATATTCTGTCTAAGTAAATCTCAATAAGTGGTGTAACCAATTTTGGAATTTTATATATTAATTCTGGTTTTATATCCATATTTTATTAATAATTCGTATATATTAGAAATTATAACACTTCATATTTTAACAAAAATACAATGGAGTTGAATAAACTCCGAATCCTTATGTACGTAAAATTTCCCATTAAGTAGTTCAAAATAATTGATTATTTCTTTAAGGCTCACGAATTCAAACAAGACGTCATCACTACCCAGTATCCTTGAGTAATGCACATCACAATTATAAGTTAATTCAAATAGTATATCATAAACAGAGATATCCCAGGGAATATTAACGAGTTTGAAAGAAAACATAATGGAAATAACTTTAAAATGATTTTTACCTTTTTTTTCCTTCTTTATATAGAATTTATTTGTTTCGTTTTATAATATTTTTATTATTCATATTTACAATAAAAAAAACAATTGCCATATTAAATATGAATTTAATTTTAGTATTTAATAGAAGAAACAAAAAAAATACACTTAAAATGCCACTGGTAAAAAGTGGGGGGGGGGGGGGTGAAAATTTTAATCTTTATACAATAAAGAAATGGAATAATTTTTTGGTCGATTCAAATCAGTCAAAACTCCAATAATTTTTATATCTTTTACTTACTATATTTTAAAAAATTTACGTGGTGGCGAGTTTTTTTTGCCAACGGAGCACCATAAAGAGAAAAACAAATTTTAAAAATATATTTTATTAACTTCAATTTCTCTTTTTTAATCAACTATTTATATATTTTTTACAAACTAAAATTAAAATATAATATTAAAAAGGTTAACATATAAAATAAAATTGTAACTAAAATAAAAATATAACTTGAATAAATTGGATTGTAATAACAGTACAAATATAAATTGAATTGTCCAAATTTAATTATGTAACAGTTATATTTAATATAACAAGATTTTAAAGACAATGAAAATTCATTATTGATTTACTAATAACAATTATGCTATATAATTTTCTCATTTTTATAAATATAGCATAATATTAATTATTTTATTTTATGTATGATTTTAAAAGAGTCAATAAAGATTTCTCATCGGCACTGTGGAGATAGGCTGAAAACTCTTTGCATGAATAGTTATATTTTGTTTAACCTTAAGTTCAGCTTCCAATGATGACGTTCTTTTCGCCAAGCAGTGGTCATTAGACTGAATATTCTCTCTGATGAAGCATTTGAATGCGGAATAGAAAATATAAAATTGCATATTTTCTCTATCAATGGTGAGTTTTTATTAGAAAGAAAATCCATCCATTTTTCTTGGGTATTCATGTGATAGTTTTTTGATAATTTTTCTTCATAATAGGAATAAAATTGTGAATATTCCTCAAAGAGAATTTCTGTATCTATGTTTGGTATTTTATAATTACTAATAATTTTTTGTAATTGTTCAAATTCTGGACATTATTTCAATATAGGGCTAAGATATTTCCATATATTATCTATAATATCATAATGTTTTGAGTAAAGAAATCGCAAAAGTTAGAAATAAAATAAGAAGGAATGAAAAAATTAAAAAAAATTTAAGAAAAATTGAAAAATTATAAAAAATTACGATTTTTTTTTGGAATGGGAAACCCTGTATGTTGAGGGCCTGACAGTCATACCCATCAAGACAAAAAATGAATAATTTCAATCTAAAGATATTTAAATTAGATTTTATTTGATACCTATATCGATATTTTGTGGTGATAAAAAATATTCCTGACACTCCAAGACCTAGACCCGCCCTCTATGAGTGATTATTATTATTACAATAAAAAAATATATTTATTAGCTTTTATTTGATACCCATATCAAAAAAATTATTTTTTATGCCTTCCCCCTCCACTCCCCCCCCACCCCAGACCAAGTCATACTCATCAAGACCAAGAATAAAGACTTTCAGTCAAACGATATTAAAATTAGCTTTTATTTGATACCCATATCAAAAAAAATTATTTTTCAGACCCCCCCCCCCCCCCCCACCCTCAGACCAAGTCATAGCCATTCAGACCAAGAATGAAGACTTTCAGTCAAACCATATTAAAATTAGCTTTTATTTGACACCCATATCGATATTTTGTGTTGATAAAAATATTTCTGACCCTCTAAGACCTAGACCAGCCTATTATGGGGGAGAGATTGACTTTCAGTTGAATAGATCTTTTGATTAACTATCGATTGATACCCTATATTAGACATATCATATTTCATAAGGCCAAAAAAACAACATTGAAAATTAATGGATAACAATATAATTAAAAAACGAAACGTGCAGAAAACGCTTTTAAAAATAAGATTCTTCTATATCATGGTTCAAACGTGATAATGCCGAATAGTTCTTTATCCTTTAAAAAATTGTAATTTTAAAGAGATCCCTTTAAATCCCGTGAAGATCCCGGATAGTTATGATCCCCATAAAAATTACGACATATGTATGATGAAAAAAAAACGTAAAGAATTGTTAAAAAAATGGACCTAAATTTATAAATTATTTTTAAAAATACAAAAGAATTATCAAAAATGAGAAGAAAAAAATTTTAAAAAAATTACGATTTTCCTTTTTTGAACGGGAATTTTCCTTTTTTGATTGACATTTTTCCTTTTCTTTTGGGAATTTTCCTTTTTCGATTGACACTTTTCCTTTTTTGATTGAACCTTTTCCTTTTATGTTTGACACTTTTCCTTTTTTGATCGGACTTTTTCCTTTCTTTTTGGGAATTTTCCTTTTTTGATTGACACTTTTCCTTTTTGTTTGGACCTTTTCCTTTTTTGATTGGGACTTTTCCTTTTTTGAATGGGAATATATAAGTTTTTACCTGTAATACGGTGATCACAATGCTGTATTTCGTAAGACAGGCAACCTTGATTAGATCCAAACTGCTCTCCCGTCACTATGCCTTTAGACTGATAGTAGACCCAAGCCACCTGCGGTTGACCTCCGTCATCTACATATGGAAACATTAATATAACATAAGATGTCATTTATAATAGTTATGAAAAAGCAATGTTTATATTATAAATCGGTAAAGGAAAGAAAAAAACATCTAGATCAAATAATATAACTTATCCTAATAAAAATTACCAAGGTCAAAATTATAAAAATAATCATAATAATAAGTATTATCGGGAAAGAGACAATTATGATAACAAAAATCAATATAATAAATTTAATAATAAGAATTATTATGAAAATAGAAAATTAGATAATAAATATTATGAAGATACATATTACAATAAAAGGCATTAGCATTATAATTATAAAAATCATAATAATAACATTTGAATAAAATTGAATTATGTAAATTAGTACCAAATGTTAAAAACGAAATAAATTCTTATAAATTAAAAGAAATAAAACATATGACAAAAATTGAAGAAATAATAGTGATTAAAGAAAATAATGATATAAACATTAAAGAAAATAATAAAATAAAAATTTTTATAATTAATAAAAAATTTAAAAAAACTTTGGAAATAAAGAAAATTAAAACAAATATTAAAAAGAGAGGCAAGGTAATTAAATATCTTGAGGTTGAAAAAGTTTTTAAGAATATGATATAGAGATCGTATGTTGAAAATGGAAGGCGAAAGAAAATTTTTTTATAAAGAATAATTTGAAAATAAATCATGATATGAAAAAATTGTTTAAATTAAAAAAGAAGGGAGTAAAATTCAAAAATTTAAAATTAAAAATAATTGAAATTTAATAATAAATAAAAAAATTATTATATTTAACGCGACAATTCAAAAAATTATAGGATTCTATATTCCAAATCCCAAATTATGATTATTATTCTTATTCTATGAATGATTCCGATATATTATTTATTCCATTATCATTTCAAATATTCCAAAATTATTTTATTCGAGATAAATGTTAACTAAATATAAATGATAATAAATAACGAGATGAACAAGCTAATGTGATGATGATGATCAAGCGAATAATTAGACGATAAGGATGACAAGCTACGAACAAACCAATGATAAAGATGAGGCAAAACAACGAACATAATATTAAATTTCTACAACAAAGCAAAAAGATTTTTAGAGGGGGAAGAAGTGAACAAGTTCAAGGTGAAAATTCACAAGTTCAAAGTCAAGTTCAAAATCGAGAATATGACTTACGACCTAGAAAAATGATTGTTATAAATAAATAAAATTTTGATAAAAAAAAAATATATAAAATGAAAGCGAAATGGATATGGGATGATCAATACAAACAGCAAATCAACAAACGATGTTCAACCAACGATATTTAACAAACGATGATCAACAAACGATTCAACAAACGATAATTCAATGGTTAAACAAACTCAAGCCATACTAACAAATGAGTAGTGGAGCAATCGAGAAACAAATGACTAGTGGTGAAGAGGAGAAACTGAGGAAAGAAGTCACTTAAAAAAAGAGGGAAATGTTAAATATATTTCGAATGTTAAATTATTCGTACGACTTTTTCGTACTTTTTCTCTTTGTGAAATATATTTTGTACGACCTTTAAAAAGATATCGTATTTGTATATGTAAAAACGTTAAATGTTCTTTTATTAAAGTAACCTTAAACCAAATTGTATATATGTAAATATTATTAAAATAATAATATAATATATATATATAGTTGTAAAAAGATATAGAGATTTTTATATAAAGATAAATTAAATAAAAGATTTTAAATAAGTTTTAAATAATATCAGTCTTGCCTCTCCTGCCTTCTATGTAATTATCATCTTCTTACTTTTTATCATTGCTTTTTATAAATAAATCACTTTGAAAATAATTTTAGGAAGAGGCATGGTAATTAAATTTAGAAATCAATAATTTATTTGATTAGTGATTTTGAACTCCGCTAATTTCAATATTAAATTTGTTAATTTTTAATTAATATTTATTTAATTAGGGTTATATAATAATTTAAATAATAAAAGTCAATTTAGCTTCAACTGTTAATGCTAAATTAATATTTAGTGAGTGATATTGATAGCCTATTTTTAACACAGAATTTGATTGCAAGCTGACATAGTGAAAATATAATTATATGTATTAATCTAATCTAATAATTATAATCGTATTCATTTAATAAAAATTTAGATGGTCTAATTAATTTTTAAATAATAAAATTAAATCTCTATATTACGTAATAGAATTATAAAAGAAATCGTTCAAGGGGCAATCAAAACAATTTATTTTTAGTTCAAGAGTATATTAAGAAGCCATTAAAAAAAATTGCTTCAGGGAGCTATTCAAATTTTTTAGGGGGCTCGAGTCTCTGCGCCCCCTCCCCCCTAGTGACGCCACTGCTCTATCGTGAGATCTCCTGGCAAGATTATATTCGGATAGCAATTAAAAACTAGTTTGGATTGATATAATATAATAAGGCGAACGTAGATGAAATTAAAATGACCAATACGAGACAAAGTCATAATCATGATTTATTTGCTGAGAATTTAAAATTTTACAACCTGTTTAATTAAATAACGATTATACTAAATATTGGAAAGAGAGAGTGATAAAAATGACAATAGGTATTTTCCCATATATTTTGAAACTCTGAAAGATAGTTACCAAAACTAGTAGATCAGTTATGAAATCGGGCAGTGATTCCGAATCAGTAAAGTTTACCAGAGGTTGCAGAAATAGTCGGGCCATTTAAATAAAAATAGATAATACATTACGCTTAAGAAAATCAGAAAATAGCTAAAAGGTTTATTTAAGAGATTTAACTTAATTATTGGATGTAATAGATGGAAAAAAACATTCAAAAAATAAACATGATTATATTATCTTATGTATATGCTGAAGGGATAGAATAAAGACTATAGTTTTCTGTACTTTGGAACTCAATTATGGTTTTCTTATTCATACATTTTTTTTTAAAATATCTTATTGTATTTTTGTATATGTTATTTTATAAAGTGTTTATCTGTTATTTTTAATTGTTTTTAAATATATCCAATTGATTGCATAAAAATAAGGAAAACAAATAAAAAACATTAAGTTATTAATTTACAGCTGCTATCAATGTCAGTCAATTTTAATAATATTAAGGTTAATTAAAAATGATTCAAACATTTAAAGTATATATCATAGAATGTATATGAATTATAATCAATATTTAAGCATCCAGGACTTTTATCAGCTCTAAGTCGATGTTATTCTCTGAATTCTCCCATACTTGTATTATTTTATTCATATTCAATAAAATTTTATATTGCATATACATTTATTTTCTTAAATATTTACTCAATTGACAAGTTATATTATATTATTATCTTTGATTAACAATTGTTTATATAGCATAAAAGCATTACTTTATTTAAAATATCTGAAATTTTTAATTGAAAGTTAATTTAGTAATAAATCTTAGTAGATTTGAGTGAAGATATAAAACACAAACATATAATAGTAGGCAAGTATGATATATGTTTTCAACAAGTATATAGCCAGTTTGGGTTATTAAAAAACAAATTCCTTAATCAAAAAATGCAAATTATTTATAAAATATTTTTGAAGAAATATAAACCTTTTTTTGAATTGTAAAGTATCCCCATTTCAAAAAGAATTTATAGAAATAATAATATAAATTGCAAGTTTAAGAGAATATCTTTAGGCATAAGATCAACCAAATGAATACCTAAATATAAAATAATTTTATATAAAAAATATTTAACACAAACCCATAATCCTACAGAAATGAGGGCCAATTGATTTCAGAATTTAAATCTTGGTATGAAAGAGAAATTCTAGCAGATAATCCAACAAATTTTATGAAGCATTGCATCCTTTAAAATATATTTTAGAATTTTTTCCAAATATATTAAAATTATTGTATATGGTAAAGATATCAATAAGCACAAGCACTATGAGAAACTTTTTCTTTGCTCTATAGAATAAATACCCCAAAATACAGCATCAGAAAATATTAATTTAATGGATTGGTACTTACATATAGATTTGTAGGGGTATACTGATTAGAGGTGGGAAGACCTATTCAAAAATAATTCGAATATTCGATTCGATTCGAATAATTCGAATCTAATCGAATAATTACGAATACGAATAATAAATTATTTGTTTTATCTGAATATGAATAATCATTTATTCGATTCGAAATAAAACGAATTATTCGAATAAAACGAATTATTCGTAATATTTAATAAATTGTTTAATAAATCTAACATTTGTCATAGGAAGAATGGGAGGATCTTATTAAAATTAAAGCTATACTATAGCCTTTATATGAAACTACAAATATGGTATGTGGGGAGAATTATCCTACTTATAATTTGGTTATACCTTATTATATTTTAATTCTTGAACATCTAAAAAATGAAAAACCTGGTTTCCATAAATCCTTTAACAATATTTTCAAAGTAGCAGTGATAAATTGTTGAGCTATTATAATTTAACTGCCGATGATGCAATAATAACCACAATATTAGATCCCAGGCTCAAAGTAGAATATTTTAAATCAATATCTGTTGATTATGATATTGATATTGATATATCCAAGTTAATGGACAAATTTAAAGAGATTTACAATAGATATACAGGTATTTAATTTACCCCCATTTAAATATGATTTTATTTTATAAGCTCATAATTATAACTGTCAAACAAATAAGGATAAAATTCAACAAAACAGGCTATACATTGTTTTTAAACAAAATAATATTTAACTGTGTGAAATAGATTTTTATCTGAGTGAACCAAGAGCAAAGAGTGATACTGACCCGTTAATGTGGTGGAAGGCAAATGCATATCGGATCCCCATACTCTCGAAAATGGCAAGGGATTATCTATCTATAAAAGGAACATCAACTGCTTGTGAAAGGCTTTTCTCAGTTGGAACTAATTTATTGTCAAAAAACCGCATGTCATATAAGGAAGAAAATATAAGAAAAACTCTTTGCCTTAAAAATTGGCTTAAATTATAAATTAAATTAATAATATATATTTTAATTTTGTTTATAACTTGATTATATATTATTTATTATCAGATTACTGATTACATATTATTATAATTTTTTCTGTTTAAAATCAAATTTGTAATAAAAAAATTTGTTAATATATTTGAGTATGATTTATTTTATTAAAAAAATTAATTCGAAATATTCGAATAAATCGAATCAAATACAAATAGTAGATTTTATTATTCGTACGAATTCAAATAGTAAATTATTCGATTCGTTATCGAATATGAATAATGCACTATTCGATTCGAATTCGTTTTCGAATAGGCCTAGAGGTGGGTGTGGACCTAATTTTTTATTCATGGCACACCCACTCATATTGGCAATAAAAAAAATCCATGCCCTTTCACACTTACTACTAAGAAAATTTTGGCTCAACCCACCTGCCCAGATAATATTTTGATCACACTTAATAATCATAGTGTTTTTAAATTTTTTAAAACTTTATTATTATACTTTTACACTTTTTTGAATTTATTTTATTATAGTTTTTATTTTTCTTATTCCATATTAATAAAACAAAATGATTAAAATCTATAAATCAAAATTTTTATTTAGAAAAAGAAGAATGTCCATGCTTTTTTATTTCAATTGTGTTCACCTTTTCTCTAATAAACAATTGGCTATAGAAAATTCATTAGAAGCTGAACTTGACAGACTGACAAAATTTTACTAGCTAATTTTCTCAAAAAAGGAAATGTTTCCTGCTATGAGCGATGAATTTTTTGAGTTTATCCTCACAATTTTTATCAGTAGATGTTGCTTCGTCAGATTCATTTAGAAATTCTCTAAATGTTTCATTTAGAATATACGGTTTTTTATGTGTGCAGAATGTTAGAAAAGTTATAAATGTTAGTTGGCATTGACTTATGCATATCAGCTAATTTTATATCATTTTGCATTTTTAAGATTGTTCTATATATACATCTTCCTTTTCTTCTTCTATTAAAAACTTAAGACTTTTGAACGGATCTAGAATTAAGCCTACCTTATGTAGTGGAGCATAATAAATATTCCCTTTAAAGAAAAGTTGTCCTATTTTTAGGGTTTTCATTATTATTGTATCACCTTCAGACAGTGGGCCCAACAGAGGGGGAGGGTCCGAAGCAACTACTTTTAAAAAGAATGGAGGTACTTTTTAAAAAAAATTTTTTTTTATATTTAATTCTTTTGTTGTTTTACAACACCCATTCATAACCAATTGATTTTGGTTTTTGATATCGGACTCGACCTTATGATTCCGTTAATACATATTAAATTAAATAATAAGTAGTAGGTCTTATTATTACATTTTAATAAATTTTGGTCTAGGTTGTTATCTGAGATTTTGTTATAAAATTATTTTTCCAATTTCAAAATATGCCCAAAAATAACCAAAAAAAAATACAAAATGCTTAATTAATAATTGCACTTGAAACATTACAATCCAAAAAGGAGAGGTATATATACATTCATCATTAAATATAATATTTTATTTTAGCCTTAAAACCAGTGTGTTTTATGCTGCACTTGATTTGATTATTATGCAGTTTAATGAAAGACTTAATGATAAATCGATGAAATTTTTAAATCAGGAAAAGTCAATCGTTAAAAATAATATCGAGGATATCAGTGAATTTTACAATTTAAATTTAAGTCAAATTGAAGAAATTTTGAAGTTTCGAAATATTTATGATAGCTAAAAAGGGGTTGTAATTATTACACGTGATTTAAAGAATTTAAAGATTTTTCATATTCTGAGAATTGTAAATTTATTTAATTGAAATATTTTTACTAATACACTATTTAGCTTCTTCTTCTGATGATGATAATTCTGAGACTTATGATTGAGACTGGAAAAACTATTCGTTTATTTTACCTTATTATCGTCTACTTAAAATTTTTCTTCCTTCCTTAATTTAACAATTTAATAAAAATTTTTATTAATCATTCCTACTACCATGAAAGATCCATTTCTTAATAATTTAACCATTTTATCAATGGAAAAATGTTTATTTAAATAATTATATTGATAAAATTATAAATTCTTTCCCTTTCTCTTCTCCTAATTTGTCTAAATTATTAATTTAAAAATAATATTTTTAAAGTATATATTTGTTTGCATTTTATTTATATTACTAGCTGATATCCCGTCAAGAATGACGAATAATTATTTTCATATGGACAAATAATAAATTTTACCTTCATTTGACGATGTATGAATCATAATAGTAAATAAGAGGAATCGTATTCATCCTTCCAAGATTTCTATAAATTTGAAAAGCCAAATATATTATGAAAAATATGGAATAAAAAATATGATTTGTTAGTTATGATATTTATCAATTCTTCTAAGAAATTTTCCACATCCAGACGCAATGGTTTTTGCTCTCTCACTTCGTATAAAATCTACATTCTTCTCAAAGAATCATTTAAATGCTTTTAAAATCTTCCTTTATACTCTTTTAAAAAAAGTCCTGCCATCATAGATTCGAATCAATTATGGGGGCAAACCAGATCATCTCACAAACACTGTGGTTATCTACCCCATTTCAATGGGCTATTTAGAAGATTATAGCAAAAATAATTGCCATAGATCAAAACAAAGGGTCTTAACTTATTAAGTATACTTATTAATTAGGAATTGGTGTTTAGGGAGAAGGCAAAATAGCATCACATGCCATTTGTATTCCAAAATCCTCCTCCCAACATATCTATTATCAAAGTAGACTTTGAAAATGCTTTCAATAGCAAATTTCGTGAACACTTCATAAATTGTTTTTATTCCAAATTTCCTGTTTATCCAAAATTCCTAGAGACATACTGTAACATTATAACTCCTTTATTCAGCCCACATGTCATGAATTCTGACGAAAATCCAGCAGGGGTAAACGTCCTCGTTTATTTTACCTTGGTATTCATTATCTCATCCATTATCTTAAATCTAAATTTGATTTGGATATAAATATTTGGTATCTTGATGATGGAACAATCTGTGATACTCTTCCTAAAATTTGGTTTTCAATTTCTTGAAGCCAATTTTAAAAAACTCATTCTTAATAAGTCCAAATCTGTTTCCATGATAACAATATACAAAACCCTCATGCAAAATTAAATTTTTTATTGAGTACATAAATAAAAAATATATAATTAAAAAAAAGTATACAAAGTTGGATTAAGAAAAAAAATTGCATTGTTGGGATTCGAGCCCAAAGCCATCAGTTT